TATGTAAAACATGTAACTCAGCATGATTCTGCTTCATATGGAAAAATCCCTTACATATTAGATTTGTACAGGGAATCTCTCCACAAGGTTTTCACTCTTACCATAGCAAATGGCAAAGCGAGTTTCCTTGGCAAATGTCACTAGCCACTGAAGATGCATCCACAGAACGTGACACATTGTTAACTCGTGTTTGAATTTAATGCAATATCCTGTGTATGGTTATGCTTTATCCCATATTGCTTCCCCCTGTTGAAATCACTGATTTGAAACTAATAAGTCCAGATCAAAGGGGATGACTACGCTGATGGTATTATTTCTTACAGATAAGTTTACCTCCTGGACAAATAGCTGAAACTCGGTGAATATCATGAGAATCTGAGTGAGACCAGTACATGATTAAGACATGGTTGCTGGGTCGTGAACTTGCATCATTGAGAGTGATTATGGAGTGGTTATGGTTAACGATGCCTAATGTTTTGAGGCAGCTGTTCTCAACTTCCTACAACTCCCATCCAGAGTTTAAAACTTCAGCTTGAAGTTCTTTGTGCCTGGTGTCTGTTGCAGGTTCTCCAGAAGTAATTAAAATGATCTTGTGCTTGTACATAAGCACATAAAACTTATAGTAGCAATCTGCTTCAGATCAGGGGCTTAAAATTTGGTGGTAGTATTTCTCTGGGATTAGAGAGTTTGGTCTACTTGAATATGCTTCTATGGTTGGCTAAGTTAGCAGTCTTTGCAGAGTTATAAAATTATGCATGATGATTTTGAAAACTAACTTCTCAAGATGTTCTGTTGGCATGAAAAATCCAACAGGTCATTTCTGGGGACTATGTAGGTAGGTAGGTTCTGAAAGTAAGTTTTATCCTACCTGATTTCTGGCATTTAGCTGAATTTGGGGAAGTTCATATTGTCTGGCATTTAAATAGACTTCTGCCCTATAAGTGACTTAAAGGAGAATCTCCAACTACTTCATGCCTCAAGGAGGAATTTTTTTCCTGATTATTTTTTATCTTTTTCTTCTTTTTTTTTTCTTAAGCAGACTGTTGTAAACAGTTGAACTTGTAAAACTACGTATATTTAGCAAATCTCTACTGACTTGCTGGGAAAGTAGAGTTTGTGTACTTTGCAGTTTTGCTTTGGTGTTACTGAGGGTTTCCTGAATTTTTTAGTACTTCCCATTGCATATATAGAAAAATATGTGGATCATATTGATGGACTCAGACAATAGCAGCAATAAATTAAATCCCATTCTCGATATCTCTCTTGCTGAAGAGTTTGAATACTATGGGATGGTTAATTCTCAAGAGTTAAGTGGAAAACTTTTAAGTCCTTTTGAGTTAATTTAGTGGTTCTTTTGGAGATCTGTGTTGGGATCATGTAGGGTGGACTGTGACCTTGCTTCTTTACTGGAACTTGACTTTACTGCAGAGATGACTTCTTGAAGATGAGATTTTAGATCATTATGATGTGTTTTATCAACAGAAGCATAAATATACCATGCCCAGGAAGCCTCAGCTTCTCCATTACACAGATACTACATAATACTATAAGTAAAGTCAGACTAGAGTATTTTTTGTTTCTAGCAAAAGCTCCTGTTTTCCAGATGAGCAATTCACTGGTTTATAACAAGGCAGGATTTTGTGGGGCTTCTAGCACCTGTATGGTTTGCATTATTTGATACATAAAAGGATTTTTTAATTACTGTTGTAATTTGTTCTGGGAAGGTTTATCTGCCAACTTGGAAAAAGAGAAACAATTTAAAACAGAAGACAGATCTGGAGTCTGACAGGCTCTTTCCTGCTCTCTCAGGAGAAAATGAAATTGGCAAAAGCTCCCACTCCTCCATGTCTTGCTAACTTTCTGCAAAAGGGAAGTAATGCTTATCTGAAAGAAGAGATCTGGAGCTAAGCATCTTTTCCAAATAAATGTCCTTGAATTTTTTTCATTTAACTGAACAACAAATTGAACCTCCTGAACAAACCAAAAAGCAAAGCTTTCTGCCTGGATAAAGAACCTGATTGGTGCCAAGTGCTGGAGGCTAGTGAGATCCTGTTGATTTTAGCAGGGCAGCTGAGCTTTGTCTCATACTTTGGAACAAAAATTGAAGTTAGAGGAACAGAGTTTACACTTGCTGGAGGGTCCCAGTCTTCTCAATATGGATGTGCTCTGCAGCAAGTGGTCAGAGTGAACTGTGCTGGTAGTAACGGCCTGTGTTGTGACAGGCATTTCATCGAGGCTTTTTTATTATTAACATTTTATTCGTGTTGTCTTTCGTAAATCCTAGGTTTCTTTCCCTTGTTTACTTCAATATGTTCACCTTATAACCATATTCTCTTCTGCTTTCCTTCTAAAAATCCTTCTCCCTTTTTCACCTCAGTGTTCTCTTTCTCCCTTTTGACTTTCTTTCACACCCATAATTTTTTTGTTACTCCCCATAACGCCTCTTCCATCCTTCCTCCTTTCCTCCATTTCCATAATAAGCCATTTCACTTTCCTTCTATTCTTTTTCTACTCTTGTATTTTCCTTCTCTTGAACTCTTGCTTCAAGTCTTGAACTCCTGCGTTCCTTGGTTCCTCCTGTATTTTTTTCCCCAGTTTCTGTTCTCTTCCTTCTCTTTGTATTATTTCCCACTCAAACTGTATCTTTCCAAACACTATTCTGTCACGTTCCAGGGATAGGTGTGGGACAGGGGACGTATGGCTGCTGCCAGGGATGTGGCTATGAATACACTGGACACAGTAGTGGTCCTCATGTGCCCCACTATGTTGGTGCCTGCTTCCTAGGGAAGGCATGTCTTCCTTCAGGAAGGTCTCAGTGCTGTCTCTTCTGAAGTCTATTTCAGTAGAAACTGTTACATCCTCAGCACTTACTGAGAAGTCACATTGTGATATTTTTGAGAAGATTTCTGAGATTCTTCATGCTTCCATTTCCTCAGCAAATCTCTACTAGGATGATGACATATAAGAAGATGAGAAGTACAAAGAAGCTGTGCTTCATTCCTCTTCTACTCTACTCTTCCACCCCACACACTGGGTGGCTCTTGCTGCGGTCTCATGAATCTTGTATGTGATTCTGTTGTGCATATTTTTGTAAAAACCGTGGCTACAGTCGTTTATATAACGTGTTTGCTTTGCCATCACGTGTAATGCCTGTTTTTCTTCAGTCTTCACACCTACTATTTGAAAAGTAGCCTCTTCTTTTGTAGTAGTGTGCAGCAGAGCAGACTATTACTACTCGTGACTTTGAGCTGTGTGCAGTGTAACATTTTTACCCTTTTCCTAAAATTCCACTCTGTCTCCTACATGTATTACTGAAAACCATTACTGGCATTTCTGAATTTGAATGCGTGGCTCTAGAGAGAATATTTCCTCTTTTGCATTCATCCAGCTAAATCATCAGCCTGACAAAGTATCAGCTCAGCAGGCTTTTTGGAAAGGCCCTCCCTCTCTTTTCCCCCTTCTTTCCTTTTAATCATTTCCAAGTATTTTCTCACCTCTTTGTACGTTTTCAACTTCTTCACTGATGCTGTAGGACAACACCGATAGAATGTTTAATTAAATAAATGTTCAATTCTTATACTGAATTGTGCCACAGTTGAGTAGAATTATTTTAAAACATGCTCACTCTAAATGTATTAAATTGAATTGTACTAATTCTTAGACTTGATAAGGATCTTCTGGACGCATTGTTGCATGTTTGATTTGAAACTGAGGTTTTGAGCAATTAGCATTTCATTACCTGTATTCGTTCTAGTAGTGGCAAATTTTGTTATAGGTATTAATCACAGCAAAATCCTTCTTGATAGTGTTACTAAGTTATAGAAGAGCCTTTGGATGCAAAGACTTGGAAGTCAGAACTGCGATCTGTTCCTGAAACAGTGTGTGAGTAATTCTTACTCGCATTACTAACAATCCTGGCTTCGATTAAATCAAATGAATCTAAGCACAGAATGGTAATTATTTTGGCATGGGAAAGCTGACAGTGTTTTCAGAGCTATTTTTATTGCTGCATTTTAAAACATCACTTATTCCAATCTTCCCCCTTTCTTTATTCATCTTGCGTAAAAATAATCCATCAACTGTTTCTGGCTGTTATCTGCAAAGTGAAGTTTGTGTGTTCCTTTGAAGCTGAACAGAAGGAAACATCATGACCATGATTTCACTGTCTGCATATAATATAGTCATTTATTAAAAACTGTTTATAACGTCTAACCCTTTGATTTTCAAACCTGTTTATCTAGAAAATATCCTAGGTATTTTATGGTCCTAAAATAGCTTAAGTTCTGTATTTAAAACTCTTAGGCTCTTAGGCTTTGGTGTTGAACCATGTATTTGTATAGGTACATGAAAGCCAATTTAATAACAGAAAAAATCAGATAAGGGCTGCTTTGTATTAGAAAGAGCTAATCAGATGATCTTTTGTGAAGCCTTTTTGAAACAACCTTTGGCTTACCAGGGAACCATTCCATTTTCTGGAAATGTGAACTTTTTTTCCTGTAATTCTGTAAAGGCGGTTCTTTGGGATTTCTTTTTTCCTGGAGAAAAAAGAGAGAGAAATGAGAAATCTAAACAGAATGCTACCATCTTCATTTCTAAGGAAGAACGAATAAAAAGTAGCAGTTTCCAATGAAATAACACAATCTAAAGGGCCAAATGATAAATTAATGGAAACTGGTTCTTGTATATTGTTTTGGAGACTAAGCACATTAGATTGAATTGTTTCACAACCAGCACGCCTAATTATTGTGTCTGCCACATTCATCTATTTAAATCATTCCCAACTTTTGGATTGCTGCCTAGAATATTATTGCAATACGTGTTTCAGCTGGCTATTCCCTTGTCATGCGCTACTTCGTGAAGGAGGCTGATTTTGTTTGGAAAAAGAAATAGAAGCAAGTATTGGTAGGATATTTAGAGTACCCGATAAGAAGCAATGATAGGTCTCATAACGTTGATGTGAACGAGCTGAATGTGAACTGATATTGTATTTGTTTTGTCAGGTCAGTGATTTAAAAAGTGCCTTTGTGAAGTCACTTTTATGAGAGAGGACTGCTACGCCTGTGTTTTCAAAATACTGTCTTTGCCAGCTAGACGTTGCCTTGACCTTACCTGTGGCGGAAGATACCTCAACTGTCTTGATTTGCCAATTAATTGATGGGAAACTGAACTCACCATAAAAGCAGGAAGAAGGAATTATTATTACTGGGACATGAACAAATGAATGCATTGCTTTTCTTGTGTAATCAGTACCAGCAAGCAACCTGCGGCAAACTAATATTCCATCCGAGAGTGCCATTGCAGTGAAGGACGTGTGCTTGAAACCGGTGCGTCAGTGATACAATCAGCAGACCCACAGTTTTACAGACAGAAATGCTCCTGAGCATGATCTTCTTCAGCCAAAAGTCTACAAGCGGGACTTAATGATTGATGAGTGACTGCTCGCCGATAAACTTTCTCAGTTTATTCAGTGTTGTGTGAATTGGACATCGTTAATCATCCCCCACTCCCCACTTTTTTTAAAAAAACTTTTAAATTGGAATTATTTTTTTCTGGTGTTTTGGTTGTTTGTTTTTTTTTTCCTTCATCAGTAACTTTGGAAATTTCTTCGGCGTAATTCGCTTGACGGCGAAATTCTACACAAATTCTACATCAGCCTTTCATCATGGCTTTGAATGTTGCTCCTGTAAGAGATACAAAATGGCTAACGTTAGAAGTGTGCAGACAGTTTCAGAGGGGAACTTGTTCACGCTCTGATGAAGAATGCAAATTTGCACATCCCCCTAAAAGTTGCCAGGTTGAAAATGGAAGAGTTATTGCCTGCTTTGATTCCTTAAAGGTAAGGAAGAAAATTGCATGTGCAATGTAGTCGCTGATACATTGTATTGAAAGCAAAAATTGAAATTGAATTACAGCTAATCAGAAGATAATTGTGTGATTTGTTCTTGGTAAGACGTATGTTAATACAAGTGTTACTTGTCTTAACTTTTGTTTACTGAAGCTCTGAAAAGCTTTCTTTCTAAGGTTTTTTCTTTTCCACTGTTAATATGTTGTTTACTGAAATGTCATATGACTGTGGGATACAGGGTTGCTTTCAGCTGGTGTGACAACTGTAGTTACATTTTATAAATTACCATTGTTTCACTGCAAATGAAAATACATGGTGGCAGAGTACTGGGCCATTGTCACAGTGCTGGTGAGTCAAATGTCATTAAAAGAAAAATACATTTTCACTTAAACCAACAAAAGTAAGAAAAGTCTATGTGTTTCTTCAATTTTGACGCAGCAGATTGTTTACCCTAGTATTGTAGACTCCAAGATAAATGAAAGGCGTTGCTCTTTATGTACATATTGTTAGTATAGATAGCCATCTAAGTTTAGAACAGAGTGAAGGGATGCAGAGTGCCTGCATTAGAAATAGTGTGGCCAGCAGGAGCAGGGAGGTGATCATCCCCTTGTACTCAATACTGGTGAGGCCGCACCTCGAGTACTGTGTGCAGTTTTGGCCCCCTCACTACAGGAAAGACATTGAGGCTCTGGAGCGTGTCCAGAGAAGGGCAACAAAACTGGTGAGGGGTCTGGAGCACAAGTCTTATGAGGAGAGGCTGAGGGAGCTGGGATTGTTTAGTCTGGAGAAGAGGAGGCTCAGGGGAGACCTCACTGCATTCCACAACTTCCTGAAGGCAGGTTGTGATGAGGAGGAGTTAGGCCTCTTCTCCCAGGCAACAAACAGAACCCGAGGAAATGGTCACAAGTTGCACCAGAGGAGGTTTAGGTTAGACATAAGGAAGAACTTTTTCTCTCAGAGAGAGAAATGATTACTGGAATGGCTGCCCAGGGAGGTGGTGGAGTTGCCGTCCCTGGCAGTGTTCAAGAGGCATCTGGATGAGGAGCTGTGAGATCTGGTTTAGTGCTTGTGGTAACAATGGTAGGGGGAGGATGGTTGGAATAGATGATCTTATAGGTTCTTTCCAACCTTGTGATTCTATGATTCTATGATTTTCTCCTGTGGAGGAAATCTAGTACTCATACTGGTGGACCACGAGGTCTGTGTGACCTCCTCATGACATCACGCATGCTTCAGAAAGTTATTTTAAAAGTTTTGCAAAAATATTTTGCTCTGTTGAAAAGACTGAATAACCCCATGGGATTTGAGGAGTACACGATGTTTTGTATTCTCATGTAAACAGAAGAAAAAAAAAACCCATTTTTCTGTGTATAAATAATGACCAGGAAAAATTAACCATTTGAAATTTTATTTTGAAGGTTGGGGCAATTTGTCTTTCAGGCATGGGGAATGTCTTGGGCTACTTTTTAAATTCAGCTCCATAAATCGGAATTTCAGTTACTTACCGAGAGCTCTTGCTATGACAGTATCAGTGTGAATGAGAAGAAACTTCCATGTTATTTGAAAACATTCATTTAATTCCATTATACTTTCGAAAATTTTTAATTTTTACAATACAAAATGCTCTACTACTCATCTCTTTTTCTGTGTGTTCTGATTTTTTTTCCTCTTCTTTTGAAGATTCAGAAAATGGTAACATGGTGGAAGTGTTTGTGAGGGGTTTATGTTCTGTCCTGTAAACCAGAACAGCACCTTTGGAGTCATCACATCGAGTGCTATTAATGACCTTAATCCATGGATTACTGCACGATAAACTGCAGCAACGTCTTTGTAGATGTTCTAGTATGTTGGTCACTTGCCAGTGGGATGATTTCTTTTTCTTAAATGGACAGGCCAGCAAAGGAGCAATAAGTAGCTTTCATAGAAAATAAGCAAGTTGGTGAAATTATTTCAAATGCAATGTTTTACTCGTTGTAGAAGCTCAGGAAACATTTTACAGGCTGCCAAAGAAGTTTAATTTAAAACTAAGGCTTTTTTTGAGTGTCTGTTTGTTTATAGAACTGTAAGATTTTTAATTGGTTCAGACCACAGCTTAATTCTTCATTTCTAACATCAAACCTGAATTTGTGTTTTATCCCTATAACCTTGGAAGCAGGGGATTAGTGTGAGAGGAGAATCATTCTTACACTTTTCTGGTTCCCTGACCAAAGGAGTTATTAAACAACAGAAGACTTGGCCACGAGGCAAATCAGTGCCAAAGCAATAGTCTTAATTTCAGAGTTTAGAAGTACAATCCTAGTAGCTATATAGATAAAAGCGAACGTGGGAAGAACTTCAATTGACTTAAACTCAGTGCTCTGAGTGTGTGTGCCCCTTCTTTTTCTGGAAGATAGAAGGAATTGGTGTTATGAAGCTGCACTGGTTACAATGGGCTTTGTTGCTTCTTCCATGACTGCCCTTGATGGGCAGGAGGCCTGATGTGGGGCAAAGGGCGCTCTGTTCATCCTGTAGCAGCAGGGCTGGCAGGGCAAGAGGCTGCTGCTGCATCTTCAGAGCTAAAGCATGCTTGTGCTGCCTGCTCGCCTGCCCTGACATTGCAGGGTGCCCAAGGCTCCAGCACCAGTTATTTGAGCTGGAGGCTTTTGTGCTGGGATGATCACCACTCGAGAAATGGAACTTGTGTTGCAGCCAGAGTTAATAATGCGGCGAGGGATTGCTGCGGATAACTTGCTGACAACCAGCATCGTTGCTCAATGGGAAGAAGTCCTAAACCATTTTAAAAACAAAGTCAAAGCAAACAAGCACGTTTTGTCCTTGTGCAATAGGGCACCAGCTCTGATGGGCTGGCTCTTCCAAACCTGGCATTGGGGACCAAAACCGAACTGCCCTGCCCTGTCCTCTGCTCTGTAGCTCTGCCCCCAGGCAGCTGGCAGAAGGGAGCAGGCACCCGTGCCTCCTGTGCTGTGTTCGTCAAGCTCATTTGATCAAATTGCCGGTAAAGATGGGATCAGAACAAGAAGCCCAATTGCGGCCTGAAGCCACAGAGGCAGGGGCTCGGGTTTCCTTCCGCTGACCGCTGCAAGCTGGCTGATCATGTCTGCAGTCACTGATAATGTCTGCGCAGCTCAGCATCAGTCAGAGCCCAACCTTCAGTACATGGAGGGCTTTCAGGAATCGCTGAGACTGCATGGCTCGGGGCTGTATCAGCGAGTATCCCGAATCCGTTATCTGCATTATTCCAAAGGGTGTTTGGAAATTGATGCACGTATGGCAAGAATGTGTCCGGATAGCTCAATTTGTTTATAGTGTTGATGGAGAGGCTTCTGTTGTTAGCCACATAAATCTATCTGATGGCCCGGCTTCCCGAAATGCTGGCGTTAATCATATGGCTTCAGAATAACTCTTTGGAATTCAACAGGCGGGATAACATTTTATGTAAATAAACAGTCCAATGTTATAGATAAAATCAGAATTTAATTAAAAAAAAACAGAAGCTGTTTTCTTTACTGAACACTGAACCATACTTTAATGCGGGCAATTATTTAGAATTTATTTGTATAATAGCCAGAGCTTTGGAGACTTAGCATTTTTGCTGTCTTGGTTTGGTGCATCTGCTGTAAAAATAAATAACAGTAAGTAAGTTGAGTGTCTTTGGATAAATATCTTCCTACCCAGAGAAGAAGCAGGATTTTTTTAGTCTAAGATTGAGGTATATATTACATTTATGTGGTGCCTCGCAGCTACAGCACCTCTGTAAGAAATCAATCAGACAAGATACAGCACTCAGGCTGTGGCTGTCCTTGAACCACAAATCATAAGGGTCCATGTTCAGAGAAAGAACACGTACCCTCTGGATGTGTTCTTCCTTCTGGTTATCTGGGACAGGAGAGGGAGCAGTGTTGTGTCTGTACGTGGCAGCTGGATAAGACTGGTGAAGAACCTGCGTGGAGCCACTGGACAGTTCAGCAGAAGCCCACAGAGATGACAAGAGGACTAGAGCACCTCTCCTGTGACAAGAGGCCAAGGCAGCTTGGTGGAGCTCAGCCTGGAGTGAAGGCTCAGGGGGATCTTACCCATGTCTATAAGTACCTGAAGAGAGGGTGCAAAGACTACAGAGCCAGGCTCTGTTCAGCGGTGCCCAGTGCCAGGACAAGAGGCCATGGGCACAAACTGCAGCCCAGGAGGCTCCCTCTGAACACCAGGAGCAGTGCTGTGCTGTGCGGGTGCCGGAGCACTGGCACAGGCTGCCCAGAGGCTGTGGGGTCTCTTCCCTGGAACTCTCCAGAAGCCTCCTAGCCATGGGCCTGGGCACCCTGCTCTGGGTGGTGCTGCTGGAGCAGGTAGCCTTCTCACCTCAACAGTTCTGTGATTTTGTGACCAGAAGCATTTTCACTGTCTTTGCCTGTAGTCTCGTGATTGGTTAAAGGTAGTAAAAGCTGGTGTTAAAAGAGGAAATAATCACAGCCAAGGGATGCTCGACTCTGGGCTGCACCACATCCTTCTTTGTGCTCCCATCGCTGTCTTGTGGTTGTGCAGTACACCAGGCTGGGAAATTGACTGTGGTTGAAACAAAGTTGTTGTTGCAGTTGCTGCTGTCAGAAGGGAGCGATTGTGGGGACCAGCAGAGCTCTGCTGCTTCTGCAGGGATCATGGCATGGCCTTAGGCCCAGGCTTCTGGAGTAATGGGATTGCATCAGAATCCAAGTTTTCCCATATTAAAGGGATCTATTTGTAGGTCTGCTGGTTCCAAGTAAAGGGTCAATAGAATGTAAAGAATGTTGTTTGCTTTTAACTCAGAAAGCATTTTTGACTCTGAATACCTGTCCTAGTAATACTTGGCTTTAAACCCAGAAAAATTTGCAACAACCGCCCCTCGGACTGATTGCAGTTTTTCAGATCCAAAATGCTCACTGTCTAGGCTCTGAATATCCTTCATCTGTGAAATGCTCCAGGCTAGACAGAAATAGCTCAGGACTAATGAGCCTGGTTCA